TGTGAATAATTCAGTAGATGAAGACACACAGCATCTTTAACCCCAGACATTCTATTTTGTTGGGGAACAAAATTTTCTCTAGGGAAATAAATGAAGAAGGAGGAGGGGGAGGAGAAAAGCAAAAAGAGACTAGCTTTGTATGATATTCTTTTCACTGAGAGTTAATATGTCAAAGTTAAATTAAATGATGAGCAAATAATAATAATGTATAAGCTGAGATAAAACCAAATTCCAAGCACTAGATTCGCAATGTATTGGAAACTTCCATATCTCCTGAAACCTAAACTCCCTAAAACAATTGTACTCATGACTTTATCATGCTGATACCTGAAAATATGCCATATTTTTGGTATATTTTACATCCTACCTTGTACTCATTAATATAAACTGGATAACCTTTGCAATTCTTGGGGTTTTTTTCCTAAATAATACATGGTGGTTCGAGTAAATATGCCTACCAAGTTTTAGAAATAATGGCAGCAATATGTTCATCCTAATCTCTTTCCTCTTTCTGTAAAGTCACAAACTCAGGAGGGTATTTGGAGCCACAGGTACATGAGCAACACCAAGCGATAGTCAGCACCCTCAGCAAGCACAAATTATATGTACACACACAATGTATGTATGCAGAATGATATGCCAACTCACTCTCAGACATGTAGCTGTTCTGGTGCCTTCGCAAAGCAGTATAATGGGGACCACATCTCACACAGTGATAATATCACTAATTATGCTTACTTAAATTAAATAATTATTCTTTAAAATAAACACAAGCTTATATACACAAATATACAAAGGCAATTATTAGCACACATATTTATTGATATATATCACTCAATTTCCCAGATTAAGCAAGAAATACCATTGAAATGCTTTCAAATTGCATATATACATGCAGATGAGAGACAGCATCTGGGTAATAAAAGATACAAATGTACAGATGAGCGCACATATAATCCCAACAGCACATTATCTTGCACATACATTCAGATTTCCAGTATTTGCATTCAGGTATACAGAGGAGAGAGGCACATTAGGGGTTAATGCTTCTAGCTTTAGTCTCTGCTCTCAGAGAACCAATGTGAACACAGGACAGAAGAGAGAGAGAGAGAGAGAGAGAGAGAGAGAGAGAGAGAGAGAGAGAAGGTCCAATGCATGGGGGCATGGATTGGCCAGGTTTCTCCTTTAAATAGACCTTACTCTAGGTCTTTACCAATGGCTGAAGTCCAGAGCTTCATTAACACTGTTAAAGGGATTGATTGGCTTAGACAAATAGCAAAATGTATGGTGAGTAACTCCTACACCCCCGTCACCTCGCCTTTTTCCAGAGAGCAGTAGGACTCACAGCATCTCCAGGAAAACTGAGCAGTGCAGTGTGAAGAAAAGTGTGACTCCCTGAGAATTCGGGGTACTGAGATCAGTGTTCAGGGAGCTTCCCTGTGCGGTGAGTTGCAGAGCGAGGCTTCCATGCTGTCCTCCAGAAAGACATACAGAGGTAGGAACACTGTCCCTGACAGTGGTTAAAGCTGAGCCCTACCTGCTCTACACCTTATTTTCAGGAATCCTTCTGTGGGAAAATGGTCTAAATTTCTCTAAAACTAGTGTTTTAAAGTTCTCAACCTATTTCACCTCTCTGTTCCTTGACTGGTGAGTAATGGAAACAACTATTTCTGTGTAAGAAATAGGAATAGGGAGGTCCAAAAGAACCCAGGGCACCACTGCTTGATTCAAACCCATCATCACAGCTGAAAGTGGAACTCTTCTCAGGATGAGAAAATAGTTCTTGTAACCAAGTGCCTTCAAACCACAGCTACATGGAGGGAGTTTCTATAAGCTACATTTTATTTGGAGGAAAATAAAAATTGAAACAGAGGGTCAAGTTTTAATTAATGTAGCACCATAGTTAGAAAAGCATATGAATTGATTTCAACTTTCAATATTCACTACGCTTTTAAGAGTTCTCACTTCTACAAAAGAAAACATAATGTGTTTAGTAGTAGGATAAAGTAGATGGAATAAGTAGGTATGATGTTGGGGTTTCTGTTTTGTGAGACATATCTCTTAAGGGTGGCCACCCAGACTCTAAGAATTAAACTTCTCCCTGTGTTTGTACCAGTTTGGGACAAAAAGAGAAATTATGTTGTTCTCTTTTCCTACTGTTTATATGATACAGTTTCATCTTTCCAACCAACAGCAAGCTAAAAAAATACTGATTTTTCATGTTGAAAGTGCTAGACAAAAATTGCCAAAGCTTGCTGAGATCTTGGTCTACCAAGCATGATTTGTAGCCTTAAATCTGCCCATGTTAAATTCCAAATCACAGACAGAAAAGAAAATTTCTGACAGTGAAGACACTAGATTCCATAGGCATCAAGAAAGTACAGAGAGGAAAGACAAGTACCTGTCAAGGACCCCATCTCCAATTTCAATGTAGTTTTCATGCCCTCCCTGGTCCACCCAAGAAAAGAAATTGGAGAGCAAAAGATCAGAGAAAGAGGAATGCAAGGGGAAGTTTGAGAGACATTCTAAGAGAAGAGTTCTATTTTCTGAAAAATCACTTGAAGAGGCATGAAAGGGGGGAGAAGACAGAAAGTATATTATCAAAATGAAAAGGTAATACGGATTGAAATGTGATTGAGGCCGGAGCTCTACCCACAAAAACTATAAAAAGCAATTGAGTCTTTCAAGAAGGTGCCTGCACAGAACCCGGTAGAGATCCCATCTCAGGGAAAGCCCCAGATTCCCAGAGGACAGCACAGGCTGCTTAGTCCTGTTTCAGAGCTTCATCCCAGAGAAATAGCAGGGGTCCTGGGTCCAGAGGCAGATCTGTCTCTAAATCAGTGAATACTTGCACAATCTCCTCCACATCCACTTCTGTTGTGATCAGGCAATAATGTATATGGGAGCCAACCGGGTCAGAATTGCAATCACTTACTCTATCAAAGGCAGCTTCATGTGCTGGTAAGAGCTCTGGGCTTGGAGTCATGTACTCTGACAATCATTTACTTCATGATCATGGACGAATAATGACTAACCACCTTTTCGCATTGACATATGAGGCTTTAGAGTTTTGTGGGAGTTCTACACAATACAACTTGGGAGCCCATCATGTTGTGTATATAAAATAACAATCCCCAGTTTCATCAGAGATGATCACACACATTGAGAAACTAGAGCTGTGGGCAGCACCTCTTCCCCTGCCTGGTGCAAGAATGAGGATACTCTAAGTATTCTTTACCAATTGGCCCTGAGGCTCGTGACTGTGTCCCATCAGGGGAGGTTTACACACAGGGCACCAGGGAGATAAGTACAGACACCCAGGCTCAAGTGGAGGATACAAACCTGCTTGGAGATATCATGCTGGGCAATCTAGACAAAGCACAGACCTGGTTCACCAGGTGACATGAATTATGACCATTATCTACACAGCAGCAATGTTTTGAGTTTTTATGACATTGTTTTGTTAGAATTATGTGGTAAGAATAGTGAAGTTTCTAGTACAAAGAAATAATTATAGAATCTAACACGCATTTCTCTTGTACAATTTTAAATATAGGGCATATCAAAAATAGGGTGTGTGGATTTAAAGCAATTTGTTTTAGGAGCCACTCAGTCTAATAATATAAAACTTTATTATTTCATGCAGGTGACTTATGAAGGGAGATTAGAAAAAAGATTTTTCTTTTTTACACGTTTTGATGCAAAGAAGGAACAAAAAGCAAAGCTTTCAATTCAAGATGCAGGACAAATGAGTTTATATACTAAAAAAGAACTGAGTAGAAAAGGTGAAAATGGGCAGGATGGTGTACACAAAATACAGCCTGACATCTGTGCTAACTCTAGTATGAGAAATTGGTGTAAGCATCTTGTGTATATGGTGCAAGATAAATTTAGAATAGACAGCTCCATGTGCCATTTTAGAATACTTTAAATCAGTTCCTTAGTCTATTTTCAGAGGCTAATGACTATAATTTGTTGAGATTTTTTTCAACAAATATTTAGAAAACTCCTATTCCACACTAGACCAAGTTGCTAGAAATCGGACACTGTTTAATACTGACCCCTTAAAAAGTTATTACCTAGTCTAGGACATCCCTTGGTAAACTGAAGACTTCAGTTCAAACCAGCTTTCAGTCTGTTTCCACAAATAAAACTTATTTGGAACTAAGCCACAAACATACGTTTATGTACTGGCTCCTGCTGCCTTTCCACTACAGTGTCTTAATGGACTGGTACTATTGTGGACTTGGTGGCTATGTTATATTTATATTCTGGCTTTGGCAAAAAATTCCACACTGCTAATCTAGGAGGAGTACTACACTAAACATGATTTATTTAAGTGCAGCTGTGCAATTTTTCCATTAATAATCTTCATGTATAACTCCTCAAGGGAACCATTATGGTCTCAAGTCTATCTCAAAATCATTACACAAACTGCTACACTATTTAGAATATACTGCTTGCCTACCTGGAAAACTTGTCCAAATGACATGACTAAGGAATAAAGGGACTGAGTTTGGTAAATTCATCAGAAAAATTGGTTAGCCAACAAGAATTAAAGAACATAAAATATGATGGCAATATTCATCATGATTATTTTCCCTTAACAGATCCTACTTTTGAGAAAGCTATGGAACCCTTAAGAAACAGGTACAGCTTTAGTGACTTTGTTTTAACCACAGAGTGAATGACATCATATGAAAAAGAACAATGAATAACACTTATTTTGAAAAAAATTATTGATGGTAGCGGTTGAAATTATTCCAGTTTACGAATGAGCCTAACTTGCTTATTATGGAATTGTAAAATCCAACGAAATATCTAGGAGGAGTACTATGCTAAGCATAATTTGTTTAAGTGCAGGTGTGCAATTGTCCCATCAATAATCCTCATGCATCACCCCTCAATGGAATCCAGACAAACAACAATAACTGTTTTTCTGTTATAATCTACAAAAAGTAGATTATCTTCATGACAGAGAATGTAATACCCATGCAGTGATGGTGGTTTCAGGAAACAGCTCTGCTCATCCTGTGTCTTTTATTCTGCTTGGAATCCCAGGCCTGAAGAATTCCCAGTTTTACATTGCCTTTCTGTTCTGTGTCATGTATGTTGTGGCTACTGTTGGCAATATTACCATCCTATACATAATTCGAACTGATCACACACTGCATCAGCCCATGTACCTCTTTTTAGCCATGCTGGCAATCACTGACCTGATCCTGTCCTCCTCCACACAGCCTAAAATGCTCGCCATCCTCTGGTCTCATGCTCATGAGATTGAGTATCATGCCTGCCTCACCCAGGTGTTCTTCATCCATGCCTTTGCATCTGTGGAGTCTGGGGTGCTCATGGCTATGGCCCTGGATCGCTACGTGGCCATTTGCTTCCCGCTGCGACACTCCAGCATCTTGACTACATCTGTGGTGGTAAAGCTAGGGATGGCTGTGATAGTGAGAGGGCTGCTATGGGTGAGCCCCTTCTGCATCATGATCTCCAGGATGCCCTTCTGCCCCAGCAGGGTCATTCCGCAGTCCTACTGTGAGCACATGGCCGTGCTGAAGTTGCTGTGTGCTGATACCAGGGTCAACCGTGCCTATGGGTTGTTTGTGGCCTTCTCTGTGGTTGGTTTTGATGTTCTTGTCATCAGTGTATCCTACGTGATGATTCTGAGAGCTGTGCTGCAGCTGCCCTCAGGTGAAGCTCGCTTCAAGGCTTTCGGCACGTGTGCTTCTCACATCTGTGTTATCCTGGCTTTCTACATTCCAGCCCTTTTCACCTTTCTAACCCACCGTTTTGGCCATCATGTGCCCCAGTTGGTGCACATCATGTTTGCTAATCTCTACCTACTGGTGCCCCCCATGCTCAACCCCATCATCTATGGAGTTAGAACCAAGCAGATCAGAGACAGGGTTATCACAGGGTGTTGTGGAAAAGACCTGTGAGCCTGGAGTCACAGGCCCACAACCAGGCCTTTTGCCTGTCATCACAAAGTCATTGCTTTGACAAGTATTCCAGAGTCCAGCAACCTGCCAGAAGAAAGAAGAATGATTTTACAGATAAAGCCCAAGCCCAGGCCTGGCAAGTGTGTAGGAAAACTTCCGCGCTCCCCTGCGCCTACTGGACCCCTCTGGACCCAGCCCAGACTCAGCTTGTGAAAGAGAACTTCAGCCTCACTCTTGGCACCCCTCCAGACCCAGCCCAAGCCCAGGCCCAGTGAGTGTGGGAGAGCTTCCAGGCTCCCCTTTGCCTGCTGGATCCCCCCAGAGCCAGCCGAGACCCACTTGTGAGTAAGTCCTTCTGTTCTGCTCTCGGGGCACCTCCAGACCCAGCCCAGGCCTGGCATACAGGCCTAGGGTAAAACTCTGCAGCTGAAGTCCCTGCAGAGAGGCTAGGGACCAGAACCATCCTGCTAATCCAGGAGCAGAACATCTTGCCAGAGGGGCACAAAAGGTTCACTTCCAAGAGCTGCAGCAGGAAGAAGCTGAGCGCAGCAGCCAGACCCAAGCCAGGCACAACTGGATGAATTCAAACTTCATAGATCTGCACCTGAATTTCAGTAGGTGCTAAGGTTATAACTGCACCAACGCTCTACACCAAAGGTCAGAGGACAGTGGTATACAAAATGACAAGGAGAAGGTGCGAAATTGCAATCTCAGGCTCCAAGCCCACCCAGAACAAATGTAGAAGACACTAGCACAGAAGAAATTGGGAATCACACAGCTGAAATGTTTGAATCAATAGCGTGTGAATTAAGGAAACAACTGCAGAAAGGTGTAGAGGAACTCAGATCAGAAATAACCTCTGAAATAAAAAAAAGAAATTGTTGAATTAATAGCACCTAAAGTAAAGAATCAAATGCAGAAACATACAGAGGAAATCAGATCAGAAATAATCTCTGAAGTAAAAATAAAGAAAGATAAGTATAATGAAAGAATTAATAACTGCTTTTCAAGAAGACACTGATAAAAAATAGAGGAGATTAGAAAAATGATGGAATCCTTAAATGAGAAATATAGGAAAGAAATAGATCGCAAAGAGATATAGAGGAACTTCAAATTTCAATCACAAGCTTGCAAAACCGTTTGCGTGAAAGTGAAGATAGAGTTTCAGATCTTGAAGATGCCATGGCAGCTAGTGAAAAAGTAGGAAAAGATCTCTTAAAAACAACTAGGATGCAGAAAAAAATAATTCATCACCTACAAGACAATGCAAAGATGAACGTGAGACTAATAGGCATCAATGACAAAGAAGTCAATACCAATGATATAAAAAGAATATGGACAGAAGTAAGTTTACAGATACACAAAACAAGTGATCAGAGTGATTCTTTGGGTAATTAAAAATGAACTTTAAACTTGGATCTATGGTAACCATCATGAGAAAACAACAATTTTCCCATGTACTAAATCATTGAATAGTTTAATGAGAACGTTGTCTTCTAAGATTGTCATGAAAATATTATTTTTACGCTATTGATCAAATATAAATTGCTATACTATTTAAAAGAGAAAAGGTTTTCTTCAAAAAATAAAATACATATATTTTTCATTGGGAATATCATTTCACAAATTGAATTTTACTGACAGAACCATGTAAAAAATGCATGAAATACAAGGCATTCAGATATCTTCTTATAAGAAACCAAATGAGAGTGTGTGACTTTATTTGCAGCGAAGATATGAGAAATTATCAGAATAAGTATCACATTTTAAATGAAATTTTTTTCTGAAAACAATGTTGTATAATTAAGGGTGGTGGAAAAGTCTGTAGAAACTTCAATATTACAACTTAATATTAAGTTCTTGAATTAGTAAGTCTCACCAAAACCAATAGTGAAGAAGACCTTCATGCACAGGAGAGAGATCAATTTCCTTCTTTTCAGGAAAACCAGGCTATTAGAATTTGAAAATGCCACAGGAAATGAATGTTGTTCTGAAGGAGTGTGCTCATGTCCCAATTTTAACATACAACCTTCTTGTGCAGGTGGTTTTATTAAATCTACATAGGAAGAGGATCACTCATTCTTTCATTTAGCAATAGCTTCAATTAAATTTTCTATCATGTTTCACTATCAATACTAATGCTATGCTTTTTGTGTGTTAATGATACAGTTCCTCTCTTTAGTCCATTACTAAGCTTCTCTTCATTTTTTTCTGTATTTTAGGGAAAGGTCTACAGGGTGTTCAGGGTCTCACTACTAGATTGGACTCATAGTGATCTGCCTGTTTACAGCCTCCCAAGAGCTGGGATTACAGGCACATGCCACCACACCCAGTCTCAAACTCCGTCTCATTGCCCCCCAGGAATGGTACAGCAGGCCCAGGAATCGAACCCCCGACCTCTGCGCCTGCTTGCAGGCACTTTAATCCACTGAACTATTTGGCAGGCCCTTGAGCTTATCTCCACTGATGTATTCCTATCTCTCCTCATTGCTGCAGCCATTAATTAATTTGTTTATTTATTTGGTACAGGGTCTCGCCCATGCAGCTCAGACTCCCCAGTGCTGGGAATGCAGGCATGCGCCACCAGCCCGGTTTCAGTGCTGCAGCTCTCTTTGTTTCCTTTTACTTTGGAACATGTTAGTCTTTTGTCTGTCTTCTATCTTCACCCTTGTTCTATCCACTCCCTCAGTTGTTCTTTGACAAGGCATTCTGGTTCACTCTTACATTCTGGGTCTTGACTAAAGCCACTCTTTCAGAGAGATATTTCTTAATTCAGGTGCACTGAGTAGATGACTACTCCATTTCTTATTTATGAAATGGGCAGAGTGACCCCATCGCCTCTTTTCCCTCTTCAAGTCACACAAACTTGAACTGGAGTGGCTGTGAACAGCTACAATGTTAATGAAAGGAGCTCTCATAAGTTAGCTCATTCAGAGCCAACCTGTGACCTCAGGGCTCAGTTTCACACATACTTTAAAAGCAGGAGGCTTTATCAGCACTGTGTATTCTGCAAAGAGGCAAACAATCCTTTTTTTTATTAATTTTATTGAGGAACACATAGCAATGAGACAGTTTCAAAACAGGTTAGTAGTACAGTTTCAATAATTAATACACTGCATACAGAGGCAAACAATCCTGTATTATCCAGCATTGTGATCAATTAATATGTACCCAATACTATGCTTGGTGCCCAGAATATAAGGACAGGAAGTTCATTGCTCTCCCCTAAAACCCCACCTCTGTGCTCCCGTAGTGCCTCCTACCTTGTGCTGACATGCAAATAGCTACTTCATACTCCATTTACCTGGTTCGTGTCATCCCTAACCCCCAACTGTCCCCCATGAACAAAGTAGTCCTTCAGTTGCATTAGACCTCAGTGAATCCTAGCACCGAGCAAGCATCAGTAAGTGGGAACCAGCATCTTTCTACTCAGTGGAGATGACTGCCAGGCCAACAACTAAAAAGTACATGTTAAATTATCAGTGTTTGGGATTTTAGGATTATTTATGCTGTAGGAAAAACACATGTCCAGACCTCTTTGAGAAAAGGATTGGGCTGAAGTCAGCAGCTGGGCCAGATTTGCTGTCCCTTTTTATCCTGTCAAATTGTAACATTTAATATCAGTCTGCTGAAGTCATTGATTAGTAAATTTCAACACTGAATTGTTTTTTTTATTTAGTACAGGGTCTGCAGGGTCTCACTACACAGATCAGGCTAGTAGAGATGCTCCTGTTTTCAGCTTCTCAAGCACTGGGATTACAGGCTCGTGACACCACGCCCAGTCTCAGTGTACCCCAAGGGATGGGACCCACAAGTCAAGCGAGTATCAAACCCTGTGAAATTTCATTTCAATGCTGTTGTCACTGATTGGCAAATCCTACCATCACTAAGGCCAGAGGATGAAGGAAAGAAAAGAAGAAGCGGAGTGGAGCCTCACTTTTCTGAGCATGGCCATTCTCCGCACCCCACCACAGCAAGATGAAGCTGGAGTCCCAGCCTGTGGTTTCTAGCCCTCAATACATCTAGCATGAATGCACAGAACCCAAGGAAACTAAGGAATGTCCTTGGGTTTTTTATCTGGGGTGGAACATAGAAGAGAGCAGAGAGTGGGAAAAATGGAAACAAACGAAAAGCAGAGTTGATGAGTAGACATTGACTATAAGAAGTCAGTCTGAAATCTTAAGAGAAAATTAGAAATAAATTACTATGGCTTGCACAGCTCTAAGGAGAAATCCTTATTAGCAATACCCTGAGGTTGTGTGAGACTGTGAATCAGGAAAAGAATTAAAATTATATTTTGTTCGTGTGAATACCTGCTGCTTTAGTGCACTGGCACTGTTTTAAACCTCGTGCTTCTATGAAAGCATCACAATCTATGAGAGAAGCACGGCGAGGATACCCCCTCAGTCCATCTTAGAGAAGGGTCTTCAGTGTGTTCAGGGTCTCACTACTAGATCGGATTCATAGTGAGACTCTGAACTATGGGATAGTTCAGGGGAGGATACCCTCCTCGGCGCATCTCCCACTGTAACTGGCTCTCTGAGTGAAGCAAAAAGGGTTCAACAGGAGCTGCAAAGCCGAAATTCAGCAGCAATTATCTTACTACCAAAAATGAACTAACAACACTACATAGTCCCTGCAGCAGGAAGGTGAAGGTGGGCAAATAGGTGGGAGGGGTCTGCTGAGGGAAACAAAGTAGAGAAGTCTTACATGAGGTGACATAGACTTTAGATCAATTGGGACAGTGGCTTAAATTGCCAACAGAACTTCCTTGCAAAGGTGGTTTTATTAAACATGCATAGGAAGGGGGTCATTCTTTCTTTCATTTAGTCATAACTTCAGTTAATGTTTCTGTCTATTTTCTCTTTCACTACCAGTAGTCATGTTTTTTGCTCATGTGTTTGTTTATCAAATGACTGTGATGTTTTTTGAGGGAAATCACCAAATCATTCTTATTGGAATGTGTTCACTGTTTTGATAGTGCCCTAGAATTTTTTTTT